AAGCAAAATTGATTGCACAACCCAACCAGTTGTTATCACTTGTCTGTTTGTTTTTCCTCCAACGTGAACCACGCAGCAGCCGTGCGAGAACAGTTAACACCGGTATTCTTCTCCACTGACCATTGATCACTGATGATCAGATTTAAAACTTTCAGCACCTTAGTCTTGGATTCTCGGACGACGATGCTCGTCGCCCACTTGGAAAACAAATACTCCCCGGATATGGTACAGTGAAACGATATCACTGTGATGATTCTACCCAGTGGCTAGATTTGAACTGATCATCATAGTTATGGCTGTGGGCTTATTTATATCTAATTGGTCAAGAAGCTTCGCAAAATTGCAGAAAAGAGGTAGCAGTAGCGGCGGCGGTGGTGGCGGTGATGGCGACAGCGTCCCGGATCCAAAAAAAGTTTCACGAGATGCGACGACTCTGTTGGACACCGGTTCGCGAAAAATAATGATTAACTCATCGTGTAGGGTTGTTTGTGGTGGGTTTGATAGTAAAATTTACTTAACTGTGAATCTGTGTTTGATGCAAATGTTTGATGGGAAATGGATATGTACATAAGTGGGGCGTCAATTATCCTAGTCAGTTAATTTGTCGAATGCGTTGGAGTCCTGAGCATTAGCATGAGCATGAACATGAACATGAACATGAACATGAACATGAACATGAGCATGAACATCAGCATTAATGACCATACAATACAGTAGTTGCTACTCCGTAAATGGGGCTTGGGATTATTAATCCATTCTCAGTGTGCAAAATCGTTACTTTTAAGGTTAATAACAGTGCCGGCCACGTCCTTACGGTCGACGAGGAGGAAAAGGGTTGATTATACAATACCCTCTGCAACTAGATACAGAGTTTACCTCATAACGGCGCTGGTGGTGTAGTGGTAAGCGCGATTACCTCTCACCCCAGCAGGCCTGGGTTCAATACCAGTCGGCGCCGCCGGGATGTTCTGAGGCATAACATCTCTGATCACGCCTTCCTTCGGATGGGAAGTAAAGCCGTTGGTCCCCGGTTCATGAGTTGATGGGTCGATAGGTAGGGTCCAGGTGTGGGAGCTGCCTTCCTGGCACGTCGGTAGCATTGGTGCTCAGCGCGGAAAACAAGATCGACGAAAAAACAAACCAAAGGAAAAAAAAACTTTAGATTTAAGACATTAATAATGTATAAAGCAAAAGATGTTGTTAAAGGCCAGCTGTTGGAGCATTTAAATAGTAATAGTTTGTTGATACCAGAACGGGATATCGGGAAGGTCATTCTTGTGAAACCGCGTTGAATTTGGTATTAGCGAAGTGGAAAAATAACTTGGAGTGTAAAGATACGATTGTTGCTGTTTTTTTTGGATCTTAAACGCGCTTTTGAAACAATTTCTAGGCCCTTATTGTTGAGATCAATCAAGCGCTTTGGAATTACGAGTACTGCATATAAATGGTTTGAAAGCTATGTGTCTGACAGAACTCAACGGACTGTTTTTAATGATTCTGTTTCCAGTCCCGTGGGGAATAACCTTCGAGTTCCCCAGGGAAGTGTATTAGGGCCCCTGTTATTTATTATGTATATTAATGACTTGCGACGTGTTTTACGATTTTGCAACATTAATCTTTTTGCAGATGATACTGTGTTATTCATTGCTGCTAAGGATTAAGATGATGCCGTTTTACACTTGAATGAAGATTTGCTTTCTCTAAGTAGATGGTTAAAGTATAAGCAGTTGAAATTGAATACAAGTAAAACTAAATTTATGATAATTTCGCGGAATCGAGTAAATGAGAACGTCTCTCAACGGGGACCAACGGAGGAAATCTAAAGTTAAAATCTAAAGTTAAAGGAATAGAACCGAATACTCGCGATCGTCCCGAGGTTAGTGAAGATTTACAGTTTCATGGATGGGGAGAAGGAGGTTTGAAATATGATTTACGATACAAATATTTCATTGTTCCTAAAACATGAACTTATTCCTATTCAACTTGATATCAGTAGTGTAATTCTACTTTATTCTACTTCGCTTTCTGGGGGCGACCCCGGCGTAGTGGTTAGAATCCATACCTCTTACGCCAAAGTCACGAGTTCAAATCTCACCCCCGGACAAGTCACGAATGACCCAAAAGCGTTAAAATGACTATAATTAAAAAAAAAAAAAAAAAAAAAACTTCGCTTTCTACTCTCTATACATACAATTTCACACTGCCGTACTCTAACGGAACTACCAACTCTATACTTTCTTCTCCTCATCTATCGTATAAAAATTACCACTCTAGTCTGTTATTTGAAAGTAGCATCTTCAACTATACTTTATTCATATTGATTACTATATTGACGAACATAAACAAATTAAATTAATCTCGCGATGGACGTCTCCGGCATGTTATTGCCTAGTGTGTGGCTCAAGTTGCACTGAAGTGTATTAGGTATACGATCGATCGGGTTTCGGTGCATTTGATCAGAGTATATTCCGGTAGATAAAGCGTGTCCCACATCAAATTGCATCACGGAAAAAATGCTTTAGAAAATTACCTAGTTAACCGATCCTTTTCAAACTTTCAGACAATACCATAACCGTACGCTCGCACCTTACGCTTAATTCCACTCATTAGGTTCTGTACAACATCTGGCTGCAGCTTCTCCTGTACGGAAACCCACTTTTTCTTCATGTATTCCTCAGATTTGACCTCGTTGGGATGCTTGCGTAGTGCCTACTTCATAATAGCCCAGTATTTTTCGATGGACCTTAGTTACAGTGCGTTCGTTCCACTCCAGGACAACATTTTAATAGTGGCACGAAGCTAGATCCAGCCAGAAGATCGTAGGGCCCTCGTGTTTCTTCAACAGAGGAAGCAGACACTTCTGTAGATACTCTTTGAGGTTGATCTCCCCGTTTACAGTCCCGGTAGTCACGGACGGCGAACTCCGTTTGCCACATGAGCAGATCGCTTGCCAAATCATGTATTTCTTGGCAAACTTTGAAAGTGTCTACTTCCTTACTTCCTCCGGAACATCAAAATTGTGCTGGGCGGTGAAAAACCCCCGAAGCTACCGGAAATCCGTGTTGACGTAAGTATCATCATCCATGATGAAACTATGAGGCTTCGTCAGCATCTGGGTGTACAGTTTCCGGGCCCGTGACTTTCCCACCGTATTTTCCCGTTCATCACGATTTGGAGCCTTCTGAACATTGTACGTATGCAGTTCCTTCCGGTCCTTGGCTCTATAGACGAAAGACTTCGATAGATTCAACTTTTTGGCCACATCCCTGACCGAAGCATTGGGATTCCGCTTAAACATTTTCACGACACGTTTGTGATCCTGATCACTAGTAGAACATCCATTCTGACCGCATTTCTCCTTCCGTTCATTGCTCAGAGTTTCGTAGTAACGTTTAATAACACGACTCACCGTTGACTGCACGATTCCGAGTTGTTTTCCGATGTCCCGATGAGAGAGTTGAGGATTTTCCAGGTGCTTGTGAAAAAACAATTCACGACGTTGTTTTTCGGGTAACGCCATTTCTTTCAACTTTCGAAAAACTGACAGCGATAAAAATACAGTGTAAACACTACACTCTAAACTACTTCTACCAAAATTTTCAAGAGAAAATACCTAATGGGTAATTTTGTACAGCGTTTTTTCCGTGATGCAATTTGATGTGGGACACCCTTTAGTGTGGCTGGTGGTGGTGTGCGGTGATCAACGGTGACTGAATTGATCAAGATCAGCGCTGTCACTGTGTGGCCCGTAGGTCGGACATGGTCTCTGGATCTCAGCAATGATGTGCATCGATCGCAGTTTTATGTATCATTTTGAATTTTTGTCCACAATGAACGAGAAATAAACGAAATGAAGCTTGAAACATATATGTTCATTAAACATATATACAGCCATTAAAAAAGGAAGTTTAGAAAGGTTGGGTAGACCTGCTCCAGATTATCTAAATTTCAATAATGTTTCCCTGTTTTGCTAATACATAATTTTCAAAGGAAGTGGTGAATAATTTATTTGTCCTTAATCACCTAATTATCAAACGGTAGATACGGTACTGATGCCAACACCATTCCGCAAACCTCAAACGAAACATAATTTTTCAACACTTTCCGCGCAAGTGTATCATCATACTGTGCGTCGGTTTGTTGCTGCGCGAGAATATTAGTGAAAGACGCCCCCTACGCTCGATGGAAACTAATTCATCCTGCCGTGCCTTCGGCCACTTTGTCGTCATCATCTGCTGCCATCGTCGTTACAGATCGCGAGCCACGGCTACAGGTAGGTTTCGCATCGCATTATGAACATGGGAGCACCAAGGCAACAACAATAGCGCGCATCGGCGTATTTCCCAAGGCACATTCATCTGGGGATATGTCGCGCAGAATTTCGTGATTCCGGACTAATCCTTCCTCTTAAGACGATAGCGCATGGTGAAGCATGACGGAAAGAATTTAAAAGAGGAAAACAAAAATCACACGATGATGATTTACAACCCATGAAACCGGTTAGGATGTTGGTCATATTAGTCAAATGTTTTGAAAATTGAAACTAATTTCTCTTTTATGGGTATTCATTTCTGGTTCTGAGATTCCCGGACAGAATCCGGGTCTATAATGGAAGGAAGGGTGTTATCAACCATGGAATAGATTATTTTAAATGCAAATGTCGTCCTTGGGAATAGACCGCAAGGCTTTTTTTTTCTTTGATTTGTTTTCCGTCGATCTTGTTTTCCGTACTGAGTACCAATGCTACCGACGCCAGGAAGGCAGATCCCACACCTGGACCCTTCCTATCGACCCATCAACTCATGAACCGGGGACCAACGGCTTTACTTCCCTTCCGAAGGAAGACGTGATCAGAGATGTTATGCCTGAGAACATCCCGGCGACGCCGACTTGGATTGAACCCAGGCCTGCTGGGATGAGAGGCAATCATGCTTACCACTACACCACCGGCATCGCTAGACCGCAAGGCTGTTTAAGGTTTCTGTCGATGGTTTAACATAATGCCTCTCTTAGCTCAGTCGGTAAAGGCGGAGCTACAAAGCAAGATCATGCTAGGGATGGATGGGTTCGATTCCTGGTCCGGTCTTTTGAGAATCTCTCGGGTTTGAAAATTTCTCTACTTCCCTAGGCATAATAGAGTATGATTAAACTTGCCACACAATAATACGGATGCAAAAATTGTATAGGTTTCAAATGCTCTCAATTAATAACTGTGGAAGTACACCTAGAACACCAAGTTGAGAGCACACAATAAGCAAGTAGCTTGAAATGCAAAAAAGAAGGAGAAGATGTCGGCTGGTGGTGAAGAAACAGGCGGCCTCTGTGAAATAAATCTGATTTATTTGGTTGAAAGTGAAAAGTTCGTTGCTCGACGACAAAAAAAATTTGATTGAAGTATGTTTCGCGTCTGTTATGACTCAGAGCACCTAAAATTACATGATTACTCCTCTTTGCTAGGGGAAGAATATTGAGCAAGTGGAATGAAAATCAGTTTTCAACAATACTCGTCATAAAACCATCGTCATCAATATTACCTTTTCAATAATATTGTCAGTATGTCAATATATTGACCTGTGTAACAAACACTTTAGTGAATTTTCATTAATGTTGCCAATATTTATATATTGATTATATTTTAAGGAAAATTGACAATATGATGTTTTTTTTAATATATTGACGTATGTGTGGTAGATAAGGTTGATGCGGAATAAAAATATGAATAAAATAAATAAATAAAATACTTGAGAGTTGTGTCAAGTAATGCAACACTCCATTTGAGTTGAGCTAAATTAGCGTGATGCATGACAGATGTGAAAGGAAATCCTGACACAGCAAGCAGTGCTGGATAAATGAGGAAAAAACGGATGGTATAAATATGAGCTACCTAAACTTGTTGAAGACATCATTCGCTGCCAGACTGTTGAGCAGTTCAGTCAATTTGAATTCTCTCTAGTTTCGTTCGTTCGTTCGCAAGTCGAATTAGCTCCGCGTTGTATAGTGACGCTCTCGCTGACCCAGCCATGGGTAAGAAATCGCGCGGTAACGCGAGTGCCGGCTTACCGGGAAAACAGACTCTCCCAGGAGACGGCGCGACCACCGAGCCAGCTCAGAAGAAGCAGAAGAAAACCCCATTGCCCGTCCCGACAGGCGTTGCGGACCCGCAGCCGGGGCCTCCCGGAACTAAACGACCCAGACCTGAAGACATCAGCGCCACCGCATCGGCAGCAAAAAAAGCTGCTGAGCAACAATCCGTTCTCCGCCCTGCAGAACGGAGCCCAGCCGCAGTCAGACCCTGAGACGGTGCCTAAAAAAGTTAAGTTGCCACCCTTCTATGTGAAGGGCTTCCCTCCCGGGCTATGGGAGCACCTGGATTTCTACATTAAGCAGGGCCTTCGCTGCACCATTCAACGGTGCACGGAAGGCTACAAACTGATGGTCTCGGCCGAAAATCACTACAACGCAGTCCAGGCCCTCTTGGACAGGATGAAGCTGGAGTACTTCTCCCACGACGTCGAGGCCACCAAGCCGCTGAAAGTGGTGCTGCGCGGGCTCCACGACATGGACACCACCACCTTAATGGACGAGATTAAGGCGAACGGCCTCAAGCCGGTCGAAATCCACAAGATGACCCGCAGCAAGGCCATCAAGTATCGTGACCAGCTCTACCTGGTCCATCTGGAGAAGAACTCCACAACCGTGAAGGATCTCCAGACGACACGCACACTGTTCCACATCGTAGTGAAGTGGGAGCGGTATAAGCCAACCCACCGTGGCGTCACTCAGTGCTCGAACTGCCTATTGTTCGGGCACGGCACCAGGAACTGCCGCATGGCCAGCCGCTGCATCAAATGCGGCAAAAACCACAAGATCGACGACTGCGACAGCATCGAGGAAGCCGCTCCCACATGCGCCAACTGCGGTGCTGCCCACAAGGCCACGAGTAAGGCCTGTCCGAAGCGGGCCGAATACGCCGAGATCCGGAAGAAGGCCTCGTCCAACAACCAGCCCGGTCGCAAGAAGGTCCCGGAAAACAACGCGCAGAACTTTCCTCCGTTATCACCGGTCCAACCACGGCCAATTCCAGTGTTGGCGCCGCTCCCGCTCAACCAACAGTTGGCTGCTGCCCAGTCGGCTGCCGCTGCAGTACCCAGTCAAGCCTCCGGCCCATCGACGGATCCCCCTGCTCCGGGATTGGCCGGTACAACCGGTGAAGCTACAGACGATTCTCCGCTGTCAACGGATGAGATCGTCACACTGTTGGCCCAGGCCATCATCATCAAGCGCACCTGCGCAACAAGAACACAACAGCTCCAAGCTATCATCTCCTTCGTCGCTAATTATGGACCGTGAACCCATAAAGATCGCCAACTGGAACGCTCGCTCCGTAGGGGCGAAAAACATTGAGCTTGCAGACTTCCTCCGCAAGCACGACATCGACGTGGGCCTTCTCACCGAGACCCACCTCAAGACCGGTGACAGCTTCTGGCTGCCCGACCACAACATTGTCCGGCTTGATCGCACCAGCTCCAGGGGGGGCGGTGTCGCGGTCATCATCAAGAAAGGCATCAAGTACTGCACCCTACCCCACTACCGCACTTCCATCATCGAGGCCGTCGGCGTTGAGGTGGAAACATCGACCGGAAACGTCCGGTTCATCGTTGCCTACTGCCCCCGGCAATGTACCGTTAGCAATGGTACAGCACAGCAGTTCAAGAACGACCTTGCCATCATAACCCGCACCAATGCCCGCTTCGTAATCGGAGGGGACCTGAACGCCCGGCACGAGGCCTGGCGGAACTACCAGCAGAACCAAAACGGCCGCCTGCTATTCGACCATTCCCAGCATGGTCTCTATTCCGTCTGGTTTCCGGACGAACCAACCTTCACATCACCGGCGGGCAACCCATCGACGCTGGACCTGTTCTTGGCAAACACCAGATTAGCCAAGCCGGTTGCCGTCAACGACCTGAGTTCGGACCACCAACCGGTGCTGACCGAGCTGGGCTACAACGTGGCCCCTGCACCGTGCCAGCGGAAGGACTACCATCGAGTCAACTGGGTCCAGTTTCGACGCGTGGTCGACCGCCACATCGACGACAACCCACCACTCGACACAGTGGAGGACATCGACCGGGCTCTGGAGGGTCTCCATCAAGCCATATCCGTGGCTGACGAAGAGTGCGTTCGACGAGTTCCTGTGAGGGGTAAGTTTCAAGCAATTGATTCCCACACCAAACTCTTGATTCGGCTCAGAAATGTTCGTAGACGCCAGTTTCAGCGGACTGGGGATCTGCAGCGTAAATACGAAATGGTCGATCTGAATCGGCAGATCGCTTCCAGAATGGTCTCAATCCGGAACGAGAGTTTCGGGCGGCTCGTTCAGAACCTGGACGACCGTTCCAGACCATTCTGGAAGGTTGCCAAGGTGCTGAAGTCTCACCCCAAGCCCATTCCACCACTTAGAGTCAATGACGAACGGCTTATCACCAACGAAGAGAAGGCCAATGCAATTGGGGAGCACATTGCCCAATCGCATTTGCTTGGCTCTACAATCCCAAGTCCACTCGAGAACCAGGTTGTGCAGTGCGTCCAGACGTTAGATACCTCCCCTTGTGCCGTCCCTCCAGAAGAACGGATTACAGAGGAACAAATTTGTTCAGCGCTGAAATATAGTAAAAACATGAAGGCTCCCGGGTTTGACGGAATATTCAACCTAGCGTTGAAAAATATCAGCCCGAGGGTCCACTCGCTGCTGGCTGCCATCCTCAACAGATGCTTGGAGCTGCACTACTTTCCAAGCATCTGGAAGGTGGCAAAAATCATCCCGATCCGCAAACCTGGGAAAGACCCTTCACTACCGTCAAGCTACAGACCGATTAGCCTGCTCTCAGCGCTGAGCAAGCTGTTCGAAAAATTGATCCTCAGCCGACTAAACAAGTTTGTGGAGGAACATGACATTCTTCTTCCGGAACAGTTCGGGTTCCGTAAGGGGCATTCCACCAATCATCAGCTAGTGCGGGTGATGAATAACATCCGGAGTAACAAAGCTGTATCCAAGTCCACAGCAATGGCCTTGTTAGACGTCGAAAAGGCGTTTGACAATGTCTGGCACGACGGACTTATATACAAGCTTTGTAACTCCAACTTTCCACCATACCTTGTGAAAATCACCCGTAACTATCTCCAGCAAAGGTCGTTCAGGGTGTCGTTGAATAGTTCCCTTTCGGGACAATTTCCGATCCCAGCAGGTGTTCCGCAAGGGAGTCTGCTGGGACCACTGCTTTACAGCATCTACACGTCGGACATCCCTCCTCTAGGAGACGGTTGCGTGTTCTTTCTGTTTGCAGATGACACCGCGATAGCCGTCAAGGGTAGGATGCCTCGTGAAATTACGAACAAGCTCCAACGATGCCTTGACACCTTTACTGATTATGCCACCACGTGGAAAATCAAAATCAACGCCTCGAAAACCCAAGCGATCATGTTCCTTCACAGACAATCATTAAAACTTAAACCGTCTCCCTCCTGTACCGTAATAATGGATGGTACAAGGGTCGAGTGGTCCACTGATGTTACTTATCTCGGGATGTTGTTCGATGAGAAGCTCCTGTTCCGCTCGCACATAGAGAAAACCCTAGTTAAGTGCTCCGCCTTGGTTAGGTGTTTGTATCCGCTCATTTGCCGCAGATCCCGCCTCTCAAGGCAAAACAAACTGGCTGTTTACAAACAGATCATAGCCCCCGCGATCTTCTATGCCGCCCCGGTGTGGGAATCGTGCGCTCAGACCCACAGGAACAAAATCCAGGTTGCACAGAATAGAGTGTTGAGGATGATCCTAGATCGTCCATTCGACACAAGAATAGCAGACCTCCATCAAGAGGCAGAAATTCCCAAAGTAGATTCCAAAATTGATGATATGACAACTAAATTTATTCAAAAATGCAATCTTTCTGAACATGCTTTAATAAGCAATTTGTACATAGTAGGTTAAGTGTATATAGTAGAGTAGGTTAGTTTTAAGCTGTAAATAGTAGTATTAAGTAGTTTCTCTTCAAATTCTAAAAACAAAACAAACCAATCCCACCAAGGTGGTCGACCGTGTACTAAGTCTAGGACTAATTCTGTAAAACAAATTTTGAATTTTGCCCATACCTAAAGATGAAGAAAGCAATTAAATCACTTAGTAAAAATTTATATGGTAATCGTCCAAGTTAAACAAAAATAAAGATCATTTAAACTAAACTTGTTGAAGACATTCTTGTAACGAACTTTGGAAACGACGGATAGCAGCAGCAGCAGCAGCAGTAACAACAACAGCAGCAGCAGCAGTAACAACAGCAGCAGCAGTAGCAACAATAGTAGCAGCAGCAGTAATGGAAGCGGAGCGGCCGTAGCAGCCGAGATTCGTGTAGCCGTGACCGAGGCTGGAAACCTCGGTCCGGTCACGACAATGGCGCAGACGGTAGATCAGTAAGTAAGTATAGTGTAATGGAAAGAATTACTCTCCGACGGAAGGGCGGAGCAGTAAAAATTGTTTCCGTAGGCTCCTTGACGCTGGAGGCTGGAAACAAATAAAAACAACAAAAAAATTTCCCGGTAGGCTCCCTGACGGAAGGGCAGTGGAGTAGGCCGGGAGATAAAAAAAAAAAGAAGCTCCCCGTCAGAAGGACGCAAGAGGAGAAATGTCTCCGTTAGGCTCCCTGCTAGAATGGCCAGTGGAGTAGGCCGGAAGATAAAAAAAGAAGAAGAAGCTCCCCGCCAGAAGGACGATAGAGGAGAAATGTCTCCGGTAGGCTCCCTGGCAGAACGGCCAGTGGAGTAGGCCGGGAGATAAAAAAAAAGAAGCTCCCCGTCAGAAGGACGCAAGAGGAGAAATGTCTCCGTTAGGCTCCCTGCTAGAATGGCCAGTGGAGTAGGCCGGAAGATAAAAAAAGAAGAAGAAGCTCCCCGCCAGAAGGACGATAGAGGAGAAATGTCTCCGGTAGGCTCCCTGGCAGAACGGCCAGTGGAGTAGGCCGGGAGATAAAAAAAAAGAAGCTCCCCGTCAGAAGGACGCAAGAGGAGAAATGTCTCCGGTAGGCTCCCTGGTAGAATGGCCAGTGGAGTAGGCCGGAAGATAAAAAAAAGAAGAAGCTCCCCGTCAGAAGGACGATAGAGGAGAAATGTCTCCGGTAGGCTCCCTGGCAGAACGGCCAGTGGAGTAGGCCGGGAGATACAGAAAAAAGCTCCCCCGTCAGAAGGACGGTAGAGGAAAATACCACGGTATTTTGGTAAAAATGTACTTGAGAGTTTTGAAATGAACTCTAAGACAGATTTGACTCGAACTCCTAGTCAAGTGAGTGATTCCAGAGCAATTTTTTTAAAGTTGCTCTGTGAAAACTTCCATGTCGATTGTAAAGGATTGTAAGATTCTAAGGAATCGAATTAATTTAAATGACATCTCGAAAAAAAGTTTTAGATAGTGAAAATTCTGAGCAAAATTGTGAAACAATTTAGATGTGAATGGCATGAGAATTCTAAGGCCATGTGATTTAAAAAAATAAGGGAGTTTCAGTGAATTCTTAGAAAAGGTGTAAAACTCAGATAAAATTGATGGCATTATTTTGAAGTCGTTGGCATTGGTAAATTTCATGAAATTGATGTGAGTTTATGATATTATTGAAATCAAAATTAAGGCTGAAATGGTTGATGTTAACGGTAGTTTTTAAATTGTGGCAAAGATGTGTTAGCAATAATGTTGAAAATTGTGGTAATATTGGATTTGGTTATAATGCTGAACCAATCGGCAATGTTGAAGTTGACAAGTGATGTTAAAGTTAATGGCATAGTAAAGGATGAAGCTCATGGTATTATTGACATCGATGATAATGTTAATAACTTCTGCAGAATTGAATTTATTAGTTATGGTTATGTGAATGGTAGTATTAATATTGAGGTTGATATTTCTGCCGTGATTTTTTTTTTCTTAATTTTCGTGATACTGTTGATGTCCAAAGTGATTTTAGATGATGATGTAGTCTGATTAAGGACGACGGTGTCAGCGGTAAAGCTGATGACATTTATGTTGAAATTGTCGACATTATTGCAGTCGATCGTAATGTATCGACGATGTCAACACCAATTTCAATATTAGCGTTGATGATGATGTTGAAGATTATGGCTTAATTGAAGTTGATGATGATGTTAAAGTGTATGGTTAGGTTGGTGTTGAAGGTAACGATGAATTATTTACTGAGTTGAAGATGATGCGAACATGAAACTGATATTGATTTAAAAATTATAAATTCTTAGCAATATTGAAACAGAGACTGATGACGTGGATGGCATTATAAAAATTGATTGTTATTTTAACTTGGTAGTAACGATGAAAATTATTGCAATATCTAAGTTGATGATTATGCTGGATTTGTCAGTAATATTGAAGATGATAGTGATGAAGAAGTTTATGAACAGCCCCTGAAGTAGGAAAAATAAACCTATGAGGAGCCAGTCTGGTGTATAGTGGTGTTGAAAATCTTCATGGAAATGTGAAAATTGAAATGAATGTTAAAATAGACGGATATATTAAACATTATGATAATATTTAAAATTATGGTATTGTTGAAGCTTAAAAATATTGGAATTCATGGCAGAATTGAATTTGATGAAGATTTAAAAGATGTTGGCAATATTTAAATTGTCGGTAATAAAGAAGTTGTATTTGGAAAAATTTAATTGTAGTTGACGATGGATGGTTAATGCAAAAGAAGTAGTATTGAAGTGAATATTAATATTGCGAATCTTATGAAAAATTTCCATCCTCTATCACAGAGTTCTACTACAGCTGTCAAAGTTCCAGTGTGCTGTATATTTAAAAAAAATAAAAGCAGGGTTAACTGACATATTTGAAGTATTTTGCTGGCGATTCTCTGAAACTTTGTAAATCTGAAAGATTCGATTAAACATCATTCTATTAAATTTATGTCATGCCTAGAGACGACGAATGATGTGATTTTAGGTTGTAGTTGGAGTCAATGTTGAAAACGATTGGCAATGATAATGATTTGGGCAAATTGAACTGTATGATGATGTTGAGATTGATGGCATAATGGAAGGTGATAATAATGTTGAAGCTAATGGGATATACAAGGTGACTTTTATATTACATGTAATGGTGATATTAAAGATACTGTTGAAATCTATTATGAACTTGAAATAGATGCAAAGTTAAAAATGATTAAATGATATGTGATATGTGAATGCTGAAATTCATGGATATGTTGACGCTGATTTTTGTGTTATAGATGACATCAATGGTACCGTTAATTATAGGTTTGAAGATGATGATGAAACTGAAGTTGATGGTAATCACTCATATGTTTACGACATGCCATTTTTTATATCATAGTAATAATGATAATGAAGTAATAAGTTGACGATTAAGTTGCATTTGCAGGCAATGTGGAAGATGTTAATTATTGCAAGCTTGAAAGATTGTAAATGTTTATGTACACGGTTATTTTGAACTTGATCTCTATGTAGTAATCCTTTTTTTGTTGAAGTTTATGGCGTTCTGGAAATTGATGATAGTATTGATAATAATGATGATGGTAATAATGAAGCATGTGTCAATTTAGATCCTGATGCTTATGACTGATAATACTGAAGATAATATAAAAGTTGAAACTGATGTCATTATTGTAGTAAATGTAGAAATGATGAATTCTATAGAAATAATTGAAAAAAAAATATATATATATATATATATATATGATTCAATACTGTTTTGGTTGTGTGGGTTAGCAAAAACAAAATGAGTTTGAATGTGTACTCTAGAGTACAGGAGGGGAAGAATGTGGTAGATAAGGTTGATGCGGAATAAAAATATGAATAAAATAAATAAATAAAATACTTGAGAGTTGTGTCAAGTAATGCAACACTCCATTTGAGTTGAGCTAAATTAGCGTGATGCATGACAGATGTGAAAGGAAATCCTGACACAGCAAGCAGTGCTGGATAAATGAGGAAAAAACGGATGGTATAAATATGAGCTACCTAAACTTGTTGAAGACATTCTTGTAACGAACTTTGGAAACGACGGATAGCAGCAGCAGCAGCAGCAGTAACAACAACAGCAGCAGCAGCAGTAACAACAGCAGCAGCAGTAGCAACAATAGTAGCAGCAGCAGTAATGGAAGCGGAGCGGCCGTAGCAGCCGAGATTCGTGTAGCCGTGACCGAGGCTGGAAACCTCGGTCCGGTCACGACAGTATGTAATGGGCGTTGAAGAAAGAAAAAATCGATCTTTTTGTGGACATAGAATCGATCCGTAAAATCGGAAATCATCCCATCTCAAAAGGATCAATCTTCCAAAGATCGATCAAAGATCGCCCAATCCTAGACTCTTGCATACACTGTACAAAACATCATGTTCATGTAAAGTGATTTGCTGTTGAATTTGTACTACTTGCCAAACATTGTAATTCGATGTGCAAATCCCTTGGAAGAGATCATATCGAAGCACGATGAAATCAACAGCAAATCACTTCATTTTAGATTGTATTGCACATCGCTGTTGATGTGCTGTACTTTGAACTCGAAATGTCATCTATACTGATATTAACAATCTATCACTTTAAGTTTAAATAATTTATCCTAGGATTTAAGTTTAGCTAAAAATGAGTTTAAATAAATATATAATCTTGTTCATACTGCAAGCCATGATATACACAGTTCGAAAAAGTAGTGTAAATTTCTGCGTCACATATCATATAAGTTTACATTATATATCATGTAAAAATCTAACACAATCTAATACATTTGCAATGTAGCAAATATTGTATACAAAAACCCATTGTTTGCAAGTTGCTCGGTTGCGTGAAATGAAATACAAGTCTACGTGAATGAATGTTTACATCACAATTAATATTAAGAATTTTTATCGGCGTATGTTATTCAGAATATGACCATATCATATAACTACTCAGACCACATGTGTCCAAGTGATATTGAACAACATCGCAAGGCTTGTAGTAGAAGCAAGACGAGACATTAAGCAAAAAATTTGATAAGTTTGACAGTGTTTTGTAATAAAACCTATCTGAATAATACACTTTTATTGAATACAGCAAAATTTCGTATTACTCACGTTCTAGAACGCAAATTATTTCGGGTGGAGATGGAGAATTATCGTTTCTCTCGCTTGGTTTCATTTGTTGTTGACTTGCCATCTTCGCGAGTAATGTTTGTCGTGTGCGTTTTTGACATTTGCTTCCAAAAGCAAAACTAATCAAATTCAATGGATGAAAACAGTGGAGCCGATTCAAATAATAATCATTTTGATTTAAAGGTGTCATACAGTATATATTTTTCAACGACAAATCACTTTGTTTCAAAACGCAAGTAACTTGAAAATCAATGATAAATCACTTCGATTCGTAGTGCCGCATAATAGACTGACTAAATTGCACGAGCATTAGGATTAGATGTGATAACTTTTTACCGTGTACAACCTTCTACTTTTTTTTATTATAGTCTATTTAACACTCTTTGGTCATTCGTGACTTGTCCGGGGATGAGATTTGAACTTGTGACTTTGGCATGAGAGATATGGATGTTTACCACTACGCCTTCAATCAATGGCTTTTTAGATATTCATTTTTTGTAAACACGCCGTTTTGAAAGATTATTCTTTAGTCGAAATGGTCGCTTGACCTGTAGAAAATACATGATCTCTCATACCGAAGACATGTGGAAATTTTCATCCAAATCGAAAAGGAATCAGCCAGGTTATTTGCTCGTTTTCTATAGAATTGCGAGGGGGACGACTCTATCTACGATGCAAAAACTCCAAGCTCTTCAATAGCATAATAGTAACTGGATCATATCCTAATGTTTTAAAAATCGCTAAAGTCACGCCAGTGTTTAAATCTGGCGACACTCATGACTCTTCTAACTATCGACCAATTTCAACCTTGTCAGTTCTTAATAAAATTTTGAAAAAAAACTTTTAACTAGCCGGCTTCTAAACTTTTTGTGTTCTAATAATGTTCTGTATAAATTCCAGTACGGCTTTCGGGAAGGCTGTGGAACAATGACTGCTATTACCGAGCTTATTGATGCGTTGATCTGTGATGTTGACCGAAAAAAAATTGTTGGGGCTTATTCATCGATCTAAAAAAAAGCATTTGATACCATTAACCACGAAATTCTTCTGAAGAAACTTGATCGATACGGGATTAGAGGAGTTGCCAACGATTTGATAAAAAGCTATCTCTCAGATCGAAAACAATTTGTAGCAATAAATGGTGTTTGTAGTAGCTTACGCCCGGTTAATATTGGAGTTCCTTAAGGAAGTAACATAGGTCCTTTTCCGTTTTTTGATATATATCAACGATTCGGGAAATTTAAAACTTCTTGGAACACCAAGACTTTTTGCAGACGACACGGCTTTATTCTATCCTCGTTCTTGTATACAATCCATTGTTAATGACACCGAATCAGATCTGGCGAGTCTTATAGAATATTTTAACGGCAATCGTCTTTCTCTGAATCTGACGAAAACAAAGTACATGGTTTTCCACTCGTCATGGAAAAAAATCTCGCAATACCCCGATCCATGAGTCGGAAATTTGTGCATTGGAAAAGTTGAATCATTTAAATACTTAGGGTTGCACTTAGATTCTTGTCTTTTATGGGACACTCACTTAAAGCATGTATCTAGCAATGTTTCATCTTTATGTGGCCTCATGAAAAGAGTACGTTGTTTCGTGCCCAATGAATCATTGCTGCGATTTTATTACGCGTGTATTCATTCCATACTTCAATACCTAATCAGCGATTGGGGTCATGCTGCTAAATCAAAACTTAAAAAAAATCAAACGTTGCAGAATAGATGTGTGAAAGTAATCTTTAATTTACCTCCCTTATTCTCAACAGTTTTGTTTTATACTAGTTCATGCCACAGAATTATCCCCATTCTAGGCTTGCGCGATTCTCAAACAATTTTGTATGTGCACAACACGTTACATAACCGTAATTTCCATCACAACATTGTTTTTTTCGACTAGAGTTAACCTTCAGAGAACTAGACATGCAAATGAGTTACTGAGAAGTAGAGCATGCACGAACTTGGGTCTAGGTCGCATCACAAACCACGGTCCATTAAAGTTCAATATACTTCCCATCGACTTGAAAGCAATAATGAACAAAATTCTCTTTAAAAGCAAGCTGAAGCAGTATATAATTATGAACGTAAATGAATATATTCTCTAAAAGTGTCTACCATTTGCATATGTAGGTTTTTTCTGGCTCCTGCTATTTTTTCCTGCATCAGTAATTAAAGTATAGTTTCATAAGTTCAATTTTTTATGTTAAGCCACAAACAAATTATTTAGAATTTTCTGTTGAGTAAGTGAATCCCTTCAAAGGAACTATGTTCCAGTGGGACTTACATTGTTTTTAATTGTAGTTTTTTCTCCGCGTTTTCTTTGTTTTTTTTTTTAGTAAGTGTCCATTACCTTGGGGCTCTCTGTGCGAGCTCCTTGGTGTGGGGGTTAGTAGAGAGTATTAAAAAAAAAAGATTGTGTTTTGCTGTGGCTAGCTGCGCGCACACTGAGTAGATAGAAAGAAGATTGATGACGATTCTGAAGATTTTCTGCAAAAAGATGATGAGCGATGCAAGTAGATGCGACAAATGAAAGAAGATTTTTCGAAGATTGATTCGCTAGTGTGAGATTTGTTGAGCATCTAAATTTGAGATTTAGATGTGTCGCCCTCCTCGTAGAATTGGTTGAATTTATTCAAAAATATTTTATAGGAATCGATTCACTAAAATGCATATAGGTATCTTGGTCCAGTTAGCAGAGAGCCAAATTCTTTCTGTGGCAAAAGAAATCCGCATACAATTTGCTACAAAAACGGATAACATATGTATGTCCTCTTTTTATGAGCATTTATAAAATTTCTTTAGAAAAATTTGTGTTTTTTCTACTATAAAAATACCGTTAACCGGAAGTAAATGTATCACAATTTTCAGTAATAAATGAATATTTTCTTTACTTTATGTTTATTTTCAGTTCATTATTTTTTAAATCCGCACTGGTACAAAAGTAACAAGATCTTGTAGATAGAGTTGTTAAATTATTTCCATAAGTTCAATAATTATTATTCGAACTTTTGAAAATACTGCTCTGGGGTGAAATTGATTAAAAGTTTTTGCTTGATTTTTATGACTTGCTCCAACAGTTGTTGCAGTTATTTTTTATCACTTTTACTTTCATGTATGTGCAGTGATGTAGTTGTGATTACAGCTCATAAATATCATTCATATGTTTGAAAAATATGTGTTTTATCAATTACTAGCTGAACCCGATGCGAGCGTTGCTACGCTTGCAACTAAATGAACGAAAATTTAATAGAACTGGCGCGTTTATGGTTGTTTTTCGGAATGAGTTTTGTTAAAATATGTTCGTTTGCTAATGTTTGACTTCGATTATAGAGTTTTATTTTTTTGTTTTTATTTTTGTGTACGTAGCTGTGTTGCATATGTTATTCCATTCTCAAATATTTTCATCTGAAAAAAAAAATACAAAAATTATTCTTTTATATATTTTTTTTTCATTTCTTCAAGTACCTGGATTACTGTTGGATATGTTGTTAACAACCTGAGAGCAGACGTGTCTCTGCGTATTTCTCTCGGTCGATGCTCGGTCATGCTTCTCGGTGCTCAGTTTACTCATCGGAATGCGCTTTTGTGTGATGAAATCGGTTGGTTTCTTTTCTGCTCGGTGGTCTCTGGATTTTGCGTTAAAAAAATATTTTCGTTATATTTACCTTCCTCATACTTTAGATTTTTTTTCCAGTACCTTTTCAAAGTAGAGCTGTTGGATATGTTATATTTCTCGTTTTTCCGCCTGGTGCATAAACAAATAAGTTCTTCGGGTTTCCTACGCGGGAGCAAGCGACATAGAGTTGTCCATGGGAAAAACATGGTCGTTCGAGATCCAATCCGCAAACTTCAAGTGACTGCCCCTGAGCCTTGTTGATCGTCATGGCAAAAGCCATTCGTACCGGGAATTGCAGCCGCTTAAAATCAAAGGGCAGATCCGTTGGGATCATCGGGATACGTGGTAGCAGAACATCCTCTCCTTTGTAGTTTCCATTTAAAATGGATGCTTCAATGATATTATCCATCATCCTTTTTACAGCGAGCCGAGTACCGTTGCAAAGTCGCGGGGTATTTATGTTACGCAAAAGTATGATTGGAACGCCAACTTTCAATTTCAG